TTTCTTTTCTTTTCTTTTCTTTTCTTTTCTTTTCTTTTCTTTTCTTTCTTTTCGAGATAAGGTCTTACTACGTTGCCTCGGCTTGCCTGGAACTCATAAAGATCCACCTGCCTCTGCCTCCTATAAAAGTATGTGCCAAGTTAAGTCTTCCTTGACCTGGAATTGAACCCATACCCTGGCAGTGAGAACACTAATCCTAACCACTAGGCTACTAGAGAACGTCAGCAATTTCTGAAAGGTAGAATTACTGGGTCGAAGTGGCAAAGATGCTAGCTTTGCTCTATTTTTTCAGTAGATTCATTTTTATCTTTAAGACAGAGTCTCAGGCAGCCCAGGCTGGACTCAAAGTTCCTAAGTAACTGCTGAGAACGGCCTTCTCCTGCTCATGCCTCCACCCCAGTGCTGGGATGACAGGCCTGCAGCGTCACCCCTGGCTAAAACCCATCTTTTTCTCCCCAGTGCTGTTTTGAGACAGAGTTTCTCAGCAGAGCCCTGGCTATCCTGGATCTCACTATGTGGACCAGTGTGACCTCAAACTCACAAAGATCCACTTGCCTCTGCCTCTTGAGTGCTGGCATTAAAGGCTTACACCACTGGGCCTGGCACTCAAACCCATCTTTTAATTGATAAGCTGATAAATTACACTCTTTTGTACTGTCTATCTGCCATTCGCACATTTTGTGGTGAGTAGCCACGCGCTTTGCAGGGACTGTTACTGAACTTCATTTCCAGGCCAGGACATCCCTGATGAAACACATTTTAGGGGATCTTGGTTTTTGTGGTCACAGCACAGCTCTGCAGCAAGGACAGCTTCCTGTCTTCCTCTGTAAAGAGTATCACAGTTCAAAAGTCTGCAGTTGGAGGTGGGCCATGCTGGTGAAAAAGACTAAGGGTTTCTGACGTGAAAGGATTATTTTCCTGGACACCGGTGGAATTAACAGGATGATTCTGGACTGGACACCTGCAGCACAGCTGCCAGGCGCAGGTGACTTTGGAGCCGGGGTTCAGCAGGGTCTCAAGAGAATTTGCAGGAGGCAGGACACCTTGTTGGCAGTAGCGCTTGGCCCAGCAGGGGCTCCACTGCAGGTGGCCTGACCCCACAGCTAGGGCGTGGCCAGGAGGTCATTTTACAGTTGAATGCCACAGGGAATTTCCCCACTCTAGGAGGAGTGGGGAGGAGGGCGGTGCTGGGGACCAGGTGTTTACCCACCTTCCAGGAAGTCGACAGGGGAGATGGTGAGGAGAATGAGGAGCTGGAGGAGGAGGAGGAGGAGGAGGAGCTGGAGGAGGAGGAGCTGGAGGAGGAGGAGCTGGAGGAGAAGGAGGAGGGTCTGAAGGAGGAGGAGGAGGAGGAGGAGGAGGAGGAGGAGGAGTGAATAGAAAAGAAGACTCCAGAAGGGGCAAGGTTGAAATGCAGGTACACCGAGGGAGCAGACAGGAAGACAGGTTAGTCCCAGTCACCTGCAGACAGGCTATGGACAGCAAAGTCACATTTAATCCACAGTAAACCCTGCTAAGCTTGTCCCAGGGTCGTTTACTCTTTGCAGATGAGGAAATGAGAGTTAAAGCTACCAGCTAAATTGATCCCAGCCCAGGAGGATGGGTAGCCCACCCATGCGACAGATAGTCAAAGGACACAGTGGGAAGAGGCCATGGGGACAAGAGGCAAAAATGGAGGGATACCTCAGTCTTGCAAGCATGAGGACCCAAGTTCAATCCCCCAGAACCCATGTGGAAAACAGGAAGTAGAGACTCAAGTTTATGATCCCGGTACTGAGAAGGCAGATGCAGGCTGATCTCTGGACTTCATTGACCATCCAGAACACACACACACACACACACACACACACCACACAAACCACACCCGCCCCCACATATACCACACACACACCACATATACCACATACACACATGCACAGCACACCACATACACAAATACCACATACACACACACACCACATACACCACACACATACCACACACAAAGCACACATATACCACATACACATGCACACACACCA